CACACTCTTACGCCGGAACCAAATCGAGAAGGAGGAACCCCGCGTCGGATTCCGCAAACAAAACTCCATTTAGCCGGAAAAGCAAAATCTAAAGCGGAATTCATAGTACAGAGACGAGAGTAGAATCTGAAGATCGAAAAATTCGAAATCGAATAGAGAGATGCAGAAGTTTGGTGATAAACTTTGGAGGGATCGCCGGTTCATAGGTCTACTTGTTCGTGGAAGTTCAATAACCGGGCCAAAAAGAGATATACCGGTTTGATAACCGGTTATCTAGACCAAGCCCATAAACATGTAGTAAGAATTATATATTTTAAGTTTTTAACTAGATAAATATCTTCGCATACACACATAACTTTTCAATAATATTTTTTTAGGGATATTGGGTTCAATAACTTTCAAAAAAAAATATAATCCAACTCTAAGCCATTTTACCTAGATCTAATGGACATATTTAGGCCACCTAAGCTAATTTTAGTTAGTTTACTAATTATAAATTTCTTTTGGTTAGTTGGCAAATTGACCTTTTTATTTATCTTACAAATTACATATACAAGAAATACATGTGTCCAATTAAAAATGTGTGTATACCATAGACAATATGTATGACGTCGTAGATAACTTTAATAAGAACTTAACAATACATATAATTTATTTAGTAAAAAATTATTTTAAATGTTAATACTTCTAAACAATAAATGCATAAATTTTTGCATTCTTCAATACATGTTTCGCCACTTTATCTTGGCAGTCTCGAAAACCGCCTTATCAACTCTTCAATTTTCATTAAAGATATTTTAATCTTTTTTTAAGATGAACAATGATTTGTGGTATATTATGAAATACTTTTTTGATAATAGTATTTTTCGAAAGATAGTTTTGAAAAAATGGTAGTTTTGATAATTGTCCCTTAAAAGAATTCTTCTATAGAATTTATTATTTTTTAGCTTTTCCAAGTATTGAACCAAGACAAGTACGAGTACGAAATTGAATAATCAATACAATAATTTAGCCTAACGTCTATAAAAACCACTCGCTTTTTCTTTGCATATCTATGAAATGTTGTGTTGTATTTGTCTTATTGTTTTTGTGATTCTCACTTTCTCATAAACATTATAAAATGTCGAATTAGATTCTTTGTCACGTTACTATCACGTGGTCAATGCTCTAAAACTCTGGATACCATATCAAATACATAAAGAGAATAAAAACTTGTGAAATCAATGCTCCTTTTATCTTGTTGTTAGGCAAATAATTTGTAGTTACTCATCGTTATATAAGCATCTCTATTCATCTTGGTAGCTAACTTCACCCTATTTAGCATACTATATACCCTTCAGCTGATAATCAGAAAATTTTCGGATGATCTTTTTTGTTTTGATGGTTTATTTCTGTTTACGTTTCTTCTACTTCTCAAACTTTTTTATATCTCCAGAAAACGGTGTCAGCTTTGCATTATCAGTTCGTGCTTGATTCGCTTCGATTTATATTTACATTTCTTACGAACCAACTTTTCATCATTTTCTACTTCGTACCTTTTTTTAGAGAATATAGATAAAAAAATAGAAAACAATTACTTACGTTGGTTGCAGATAATTTCCAACGCCCTCCACTACGAGGATGCTTATGACGCCATTCAAATGTCTTTGATCCCCCAACGCAGCAGCCCCAACAACTACARTTGCCAATATAGCAGTCTTGTTATTCCAAATAAAATCCAGTCTTGTTTAACAAAAAAAAAATCAACAAACTCTACATATTAAAGAATGTGAATTCTATTATAATTTATATTGGTACCTCTTCTGAGATGAACAACTGGATGCGGATTTCCAACAACCATCGTCAAAATGAAGTCTTGCAAGAGTAGACGTGTATAATCAGACCGAGTCTCAAATGGAAGCGTCGACGGATTCAAAAACTTGTTGCAACCGCCAGTGGGGCAATTAAAGAGGACAATTCTATTTCTAACAAGTTCTTGAATATGGCCTATGACATGAAAGAAAGAGAATTAGTAAAAAACATTGAAAACATGTATAATTAAAGTCAAAACATGTCGTAACCTTCAAAACT